AATCCTCCATATCATTCCATAAATCACATTTTTCCTCTCTGTGTGTAGGTCTAATTATGTCTGGCTCAACTAAGTGCCTTGTTTTTTCTCCTGTCATCTGCTGTTGTATAGTATTGTTACATGCACCTATTTTACTAAAAAGGACAGGTTGTAAAAAGCACATTTTCCACTAAAACACGAGATTTAAAAAAAATGGTGCTGTGCTTTCAGCTGCAAGTGGAGGTGGGATCAATGCTGAACAAAAGAAATGCCAGATCAATTACCCGGAGTGAAAGCTCTGTTGCGCATTTCTTCAGCCGCGCTGTCAAAGTAAACCACATTAAGCATCCGTTATCTATTAATCATCTAGTCACTAAATCCAACTCTATATGACCAGATATTTATTGCAGACTTATTTTAGAAGTAAACATATCAGACACAATTTGAAATTCCCAGAGGAACATTAGGACTAATGCCAGATGCAAAACCATAAAGCTCAATATTCAGTTTACTGTAAATTCATTATTGAGAACCACGTAAACCTCACTTCGTGTTTATACCCGAAGATATAAGGCTCCATCTCCTACGCTTGCAAAGTATAAAACAGCGATTTTAGCACTTTGTTGCAAACATGGTTGTTCCACAATACTGCAGCACCTTTATGAATGGAGAAACATCCAACATATGGTCCTACAGCGCTGAAACATAGGTTAATCCCTGGTGTAGTGCGCTTCCTTTCAAACTCATCTCAACTCACCAGGAAAATGTACCCCAAAGTATGAAAAGTCCAACACGTTCACCAATCAAACTGTAAAACGTGACTGAACTCTGGATGAAAGCTGGATTTTTTTTTCCACTCGGATTTCCAAAAAAGCCGGCTAAAAATGCCACTTCCGCGCTGCAGTCGCTAAGGAACCAGTGTTAAACTTTTTACCCACCTTTCTGCATTTTAATTTTGTGATTTGACACCACACTTATTTGGTATGCATGCATAAAGCGATAATGCCCGGTGAAACAATGGGCTTCTGAAACAAAAGTCACTATCAAAGCAATTGACAACTACATTGTACTGTGGTCAAGAGATCGATAATGCACACGATACCTTGCAACAGTTGGGGTGCCTTGGCGTCGAGGAGCCCAGAGTCGGAATATGAGACAGGATATGTGCCCCAGAATGGAAAATTGAACTATAGCCTTGTAAGAAAAGGGAAAAGTTAGGGAATTGCCCTGTTTGGAATAGGGGAGGGGATACAGGCAAAGGCAGACACAGAGAGGGGGTAGGAACGGACTGAAGGACAAACCCACATTCCTCAAGATTTCAAGAGTTGTTATAACAGGGGCCAAGCAGCTAAGCCTTCACACTGTGGCTAACCTGGCCATCACTCTGCACAAAACAATCCTTCAGACTACCTGAGTGATGAGACAAGACTCGCACCATGGTAAATGCCTTGGATGATTACTAAGCAGAATTTGTTTTAACATCAATCTGTGGAAAATGAGCCAACAATGACTTATCAGTAGGGATATGAAAGGTGAAAAGGATGTGATTGTTTGTGATTAGAGCTAAAAAATAAATAAAACATGATAGACTGTGAGAAGTTACCACATTTAAGCAGGAATTAGGGGTAAAGACTAATTTCACAACCTCTGGTGTCACTTTGCACACTTTACCCACTGGCCACAGTCAGTTTATAAATTAAGCAAAGGATAAGGAGCATGTTACTTAGTGTGTCATATTTACCCATGCTATTTAAATAGTCCTGCTGTTTACTGACTCAATCCACCGGTGCTTGTGACTGACACATCCTTGTGCTTTGTTGCACAAGTGCTTATAGGAAGCTGACGTTGAGAGAGTGGCCATCTGGGTGGTATAGTGGCGACAACAGCTGAGCACATCTCTATGTTGGTACCTACTGTATGGCGTTCACCGCTCTCAACAAAAATGGTTCAGTGTAGCTCTACAGAGGAGGAGCGAGAGGTGAATCTATCAATTTATTGCCAAAGTCGTTTTGATGCTACTGTTTGTGATCCTACAGAGGATATTGTGAGAATAATGCATTTTCTCTAAATGACTCCATGAAAAGCCTTAAAAACTTGCTGTGCTTTCACAAGATGGGTGAAAACAATATTTTAAATCTTCATATATTTGGGGCTGCTGTGGTTCCAGAGGTAGTGCAGGTCATCTCCTAACCAGAGAGTTGATGGTTTAATCCCCAGCTTCTCCAGTCCATATGTCAAAGTGTCCCTGGGCAACACATCGAACCCCAAGTTGCTCTGGACAACTTGGGGGTCTGATTCTACAGATATAGTCTGGAGTTCATGTGTGAAAATTACTTTAGTCATGTGTGACCCAGCCCTTGCTTTAGTCAATTGACTTGAAGAACTATCTAAACTAAAACCTAATGATTCTACCAATGAAAGGAATAAGCTTTTCAATGTTCAAGTGGTTTTTCAGTCAGTGATGAGCGCCCAGTGGAGAATCATTATTTGTGAAAGGGGAGAAACCTTGTTTGTCACTGGAAATGTCTTTGGAGACAACATGTAGAGTCAATGTTTGCAAGGGACAGAAACACTTGAATGGTCTGCTCTGTCTGTTCACACACACTCACAGGTTTCAATGGGTTATAAATGCTTTTTACACAGTAGGGCTTTATGTAGATTTAAAGTTTACCTGGAAATACTCTCAGTATCCCCCAGCATGAGCCAAAACAAGACTGAGGTGTTTTGTTGTAATGTTTTCAGTCAGTTTTCAAAACAAAGATTAACAAAGTTGGTAATTATAACCATGTGCACAAAGCTGTTTGTCTCTGCAGGACTTGGCATGGTCTAAAGTTACCAAACCGTGTGTGGGGAACTAGAATTTCCTGAGAAGAGATGATGCAAAACCACTGTTAATCATCAGGAGAGGTATTTCAATTTTACTTGAAAACATGAGCATTTCCATATTGTGTTTATTGATAAATCAGTGTCTTTGTTTCCAACACATGATTTAAACAACTGTAAAACTATCCAGCAAATTTCACATAAATCAGATTTTAGTGTTGGTGCGTTCTCCCTTGGATGTAGACCCAGACATGTACACTTCAAAACACAAACATCAAAACACTGTGCATTTGTACCCTCTCTTACTTCATCCTATAGAACATGGCAGTTCATTCTGGCTGGGAAGATACAGCGCACTGTAGAACATTCAGTAGGTTTGTTGTATTGCAGACTGATTTATGATGTTCTGCAGAAGCTCTTAGGGAGTCTAACTGTCTCCTATTCACACGGGGATAAATAGGAACAAAAAAATTAGACCTTAAGGAATCTGGATTTCATTTATGTGTGTGTATGTGTATACACACCTGGCATTGCTCACACTATGGGGACTAAAACATGTACAAGTTCACACTTGTGGAAACCAATTGCTGGTCTTGACCACTGGCATACGTATACAGTATACAGTACAATGGGCACAGCATCACCACTTCCCTCCACTATGCAAAAGAGAAGCCAAAATATCATGAATATGGCGGCTGCCATCTTGCTTTTTTGCAACCAAATTCTGTGCAGTAGTGACCAGAAGTGGAGTGTCAGCATTGGGCCACCAGTCAAAACTGTCAAATTAACCAAAATACACTTCTTTTTATATCAGCAAATAGCTTATTAAAAACAAACTTACCAGAAAAAAAGTATCACTTGTACACACATCAGTGTGCTAATATCTACCACAAACCATAGAAGTGACATCTGGGAAAAATGTTTTTGATTTGCACTTTGAGTTTTAATTTGGCTCATGTTCCATCCACTAACGTGGATGAGGTGGGACTTGCAACCAGCCACCACTGGGCCATTGTGTGGCAGTGGCTTCACTTCTGTACATTGTTTTTAGAGTCAGTGATCTCAACCATCAAATCACTGAATTTTAGGGTGATAACTTGGTTTAAGTTTAGGTTTAGGTTAGGGTTCGTCAAGTAGTGGTTATAGTAAATCTCCAGGAAATGAATGTAAGTCCCCACAAAGAATGAAAACAAATATGTGTGCGTGTGTGTGTGTGTGTGTGTGCGTGTGTGTGTGTGCCCTTTCTCCATCTTTCTTCCCTCTAGAAGTCCCTCCAACTCCCATCTAAACAGAACCACATTTTGGACAGCAGTGATCTGGCGACAGTGAAAACACCATTTATGTGTAGTGCCTTCAGAGCTGGGGAAATACATTCACTGCCCCCCCGCCTGTGCTCTCTCTCTTCCTGTCTCTCACTTGTCTCTCATCTCTTTCTTTCCAGCACCTAACATTTGTATGCACACACACAGAGACTCTCCATACCTCGATTTAAGGTAAATATATATGTTTGAGAAGCAGGCTGCCTAAATGACCCAAAAGTAGTGTGCACCTATGATGTCACAGATTTTTTCCAATGGTGGTCATTAGGTCATTAAAATAGAAGAGAAGACGTTTTTGTTTGTGTGTTGGATTCATATGTAGAGTTTTGGCTTTAGACTTATTCAAGATTGTAAACATGCAACATGATCATGTGCTTTCAAATTATGAAGCTGTATTTTTAGGTTTATTTTGTTATTCTAAGAAAGAAAAATGATCCGAGTGAGATTAGTGGTGAGTGTTATGGTGACTACATGGGCTCATGCTGACAAAAGCAAGCTTTTTGGTTTACATGCACCAGACTGCATTTATATTACATATGCCTGGCACAGTAGGAGTAGGATTATGAGGATCTGGATGTCACTGCTGTGCTGAGCTTTGGGGCCCTCATGTAGCTGACATGCTATCTGAGATGACAACCAAGTACATAAACCAGACAAAGATTGGATTGCCCTCACATAAATGTAGTTACAGGCTTTTATATTTACATGCACGCATGCATAAAGTCCACCTAGCCTAATGAACCCCTAACTCACATTCTATATATGTCATCCTTGATTACCAGTATCACTCTCTGACAGGAGGATGTCTCTGTGTGTGAGTGTGTGCAGACTAAAATGATCTCTACTTTTTTACATGCTACACTTCTGTATAAGCTGAATTCCTGAAGCGGTGCCTGATCCCTCCCAGCGCTCAAGGAAAGAACCAGGAGAGACCACCGGAGCCTGATGGGGGCTTTCAGACTGCCTTCAGCCCAGCCAGGAGAGACATCACTGAGCCAAATCACTTCCATGACAGCTTCTCACCAGGGAGAGATTCATGGCCAGAATTAGTCATATTGTACTGCTGCCCATAGGGGTGAACCAGTGCATATGTGGGTCATGAGAGGCAGCACTGGACCAAAGGAGTCTATGTTACAATAGAGGATCCTTTTTTCCCAGTTGTTATGTACACATGTATATATACTGTATTATATCATTAAACTGGTCACAAGCACAACCCTGTAAAACATGACACTGCTGAAGATTGTTATTCATTTTATATAAAGGTTCACACAGGCATATAATCAATACATTTTGGTCATAAGAAGGGGTTCAGATGAACACAAAAAAGCCATTTGATCACAAGGTTGACTCCTCTAGAAAAGATATTAAAAATATATAAATCTATTTTTTTTTTTTGTTACTCTAAAATGCCTTGCCTCATGCCTGAAGCTAAATATTTTATATAGACATTTGGAAAGCAAAGCTTAACACAGGTGGTGAAGCTGGATACCCACCAATAAACTGATGCCTCAGCTAGCTCATTGTTAGCTCATTGTTAGCTCATTGTTTTACTTGAAAGTGAGAAATCAACTGTCACTACTCCATGTGCACCTTTGAGATTTGTATTTACCACAAGATGAGAAATATTAGATGTAATGATGTGTTGAAAGTGTATAATATGAAAAGGAAACAGGTTTGAAACTTGAGGTAATGGTTGTTAGAATCTGCAGGGCGAAAGAAGGAAATAGAGACTAAACGGGGGCAATGTTTTTTTATTCTTTGCGAGTCAAATGAGGCAGTAATGAGACTAGCTGGAACTTCAAAGCTCTCAAATAGAAGAAACTCAGAAATCCTGTTGTTGCATAACTGACTGTCAAAGTTCTCATTTTCCACACTGAATGTATTCACTCACTGTCTTTTGACCGTGTAGTATGCTTTGACAGAACGCAGCCTTAAGGTCATGGGAGCAAGGAGGTTGTGAGTGTGGTAAGGTGGGACCGAGGGACTAGAGGTTGGTTTCCTAGTGTCATCATGGTTGTGGAGTTTGTGGTTGGAGCCTGTGGGGT